CCATGTTTCTCTGTCACCTTGTAGTACTTTGTTTCTTTCATCTTAGACATGCCAAGGGAACTGGGGACATTGAAGTGTTGATTTCATTGCTTTTATGCCAACTCAACATTTTAAGGTAAAAGTCTTTTATCATTCCATTATCTTAAATGTATTTTCATCAAAACTTGGAGCTGCAGATTTAGTTCATTCTATTTATGGCCAGTGTCCTCCATGTGATCTCATTCTTCTTGTCAAATCATTGTCAGATCTTGTCAAATTAGACTTATTTTCTGTCAAGAAAGGTCTGACCCACTTTTTCAATTGAAATAAGAGTATTAATATACTTTCCCAGGGATATTCCAAAAGAAAACCACTGAGAAATAAAATGGTAGAACACACCCTATGAAATAAATTACTGGAGGCAGTAAACATTGAAAACATGTATATTTAATATAATTGACCCACTTTATAATATGCTATTAAAAGAAAATGAGTCTATATGCTGCTTTCTTTTGTAAGAAACTTACAAATTTAATGAAATATGTAGGTAAATGCTCAAGATATTTACTGAGTGAGGAGAATGATAATATACTTGGGTATATGTGTATATTGACTATTACCCTCAGGAGCTAAAGATTAAATAAGAATTAAGTATAAAAATCATTTTTAAAAAGTCCCTCCTTCATTAATTCTATTAAGCATGATGATCTACGTTTCCTTTATGTTTAATGAAAAAGAAACATGTGTATGGCTAAAAGTTAACCAGTCTGGGAGCTGGTGCGTTGCAATGTGTGTTTGCAGTATTTTTGAGGAGTATCCAACTCATCTGTAAAAAATTAGTAATGCGTAGAGTGGCAAGTAGCTTATCTGACACGTAAAATTAGATAAGCACGTAGGCAGAACGTGGAGGGGGAGGGAAGGAACTCGAGGCTCCCGAGTCCCCGGATATTGAGAAGTCCCTCCATACTCAGAGACGCTCTGTGTTCAGGAGCTCTTACTCTTTTCTGCCGGAGACAAGCAGATAAAAGGCCAAATGCATTTGAACCAGTAGAGTGAGTTGAATTCTCAATGGAATGTATTTTAACATCTTATTATTTCCCTTATTAGCTAGAGTTAAATACAATCTTTGACACGTGTTCATTATAAGAACAGTGGATGTTTGGAGTCTGCCCCAAAAAGACAGAACCTCAATATAGTCTCATGTCCTGTGGGGTCCCCATCACTCCAGCCTTTGTCATGTTGCAATTACCCAGACTTTGCGTTCTCTTGCAGCCAAGCTTATCATCACAAACTGACCAACGTGCTGATCACTTTTCCTTCATAAACCTCTTGTGAGGGTCTCGAAATTCTGTCTCTCCATTTCAGCATCTCACTGAAACTGCCTTCAGTGTGGGTCTGCGTGGGGAGGCTCCAAGGCCGCGCGTTCGCACTGATGCATGTGCGTTCCAGGGTCTGCATCACGGAAGGCTTGTGCAGGTGGCAGGCACAGCCACGAAGAAACCCGTGCCCTTGGCTGCACAGTGTCCCCATTTCACAGGGGGCCAATGAACAAATGATAAGTGTTAGGAAGAGAGGCCAAGCGGGATGAGCTGTGAGCTGAGATTCAGCTGACAGTAAGGCACCTCCCCCATGAATACGCGTTTCAGAGGTTCTAAGGAAGTAAGTGGTTGCGCTTTATAAACCTTCTTGGGGCGCCTGGCCCTCGGTGGAGCCTGTGACTCGATCTCGGGGTCATGAGTTTGAGCCCCACGTTGGACACAGAGATTACTTAAAAAAACAAAAATCCTTCCTGATAGTTCCTTATATTTTTTTAAACTTGGAAAATTTACATTTTACAGCATTATATTTTTTTCTGTGTACATACCTGTGTTGATATTAAAAAAAAATCCATGAGCACTTAGAATACCATAAAAATTGTATTTTTAAAAGTCTACGCTCAGACTTAAAATGCCTTATGAAAAACCTCCAACACAGGAAAGTAGAGAGATGAGGACCTGAGCTCCCGTATGCCGGCTCCAACAATTATCTACCTTGGCCAACATCGTTTTGTCTAGACCTTTTCTTCTCTATTTATGGAGTTTTGTTTCTTGTTTTCCTTTTAAGAAAGTCCCAGCCAGGGGCGCCTGGGTGGCTCAGTCGGTGAGGCGTCTGCCTTCAGCTCAGGTCACGATCCCGGGGTCCTGGGATCGAGGCCCACGTCGGGCTCCCTGCTCAACGGGGACCCTGCTTCTCCCTCTGCCGCTCCCCCTGGTCGTGCTCTTTCTCTCTGTCAAATTAATAAATAAAATCTTAAGAAAAGGAAGTCCCAGTCCTACGTCACCTGCCACAGCTTGGCTGTGCGAGCGTCTCATGCGCGGCTCGGTCGCCCCATCAGCGAGGCGTCAGCCCTTGCCCTCAGCACCCAAATGTCTCAGGATGTCTTTGTCCCTTGCTTTTTCCCAGCTGGCCTCCCCCCTGTAAACTCATTATTTAGCTCATTTACTGTGCTCACGGTTTCTAATTCTGCTTGGTTCTCTTGTTTTCTTATCCTTTTTATAATTTGTATTAAGTTCATTTTAAAATCGGGGACCGTCTGCTCTAAACTATTAGAATTCGTCTCTAATTCAATACTACCCATTTTGATTTTCGTAGTTGTGCTTTTCAAATGTCTCATTTCCGCGAGGGGGTTTGCTACCTGCTCGGGCGGTGTGTGGTGGGAAGCTGGGACCTCAGTGTGGCCCGGGGTGCCGAGGGAGCCCAGGGGGAGGGCCCAGACTCCGTCACCCGCCGCACCTGCAGGAGGAGACCGGTTCACCAGTCCCGGGGCGGGGGCAGGGAGGGCGGGCAAGCACGGGCCGCACCCGCACCGGCGGAGGACCTCGCGCCGCGCCGGGCC